ATGCTATTGGAATTTCAGCAGGATAATATAGAAATATTCCGAAGCACAGGAAGAGACTTACATATGATAGCCACAGTTTGATCCCCGATTAATTCCACTAATTACCTGAAAATAAAATGAAGTATAAATTCTCAAGAAATTCATCACAGATACAGGTATTATGTTATTGCAAGGTGAACAATAAGTGAATGCTAACCAGCAAAGGTTTTGACCATGAAAACAGTGCGCCAGACAATGCCAATGAGACACAATCCACTGGAGTCCCTGAGTAACAAATCCCATAAACAAAGCCTATTACTAAAACAAATACTACTAAGAGTGCAAAACACACATCACTTCACTGTGAATCCAGTTAGTGGAAAAAAAACCAATCAGTTCCATAATACAGTCACGACTACAGCCCTAGAAATGAAAATAGAAAAAGCAAAAGCCCAGTCATTCCTAGAAAATCATACAAAAAAATGCAAAACCAACACTCCTACATGTTAGTAAACCTTGAATTCTTAAACTGGAGGTGGCTCGGTTACTACAAATATACGATGCTCTTAACAATTAATATTTTCAAATTTAGAGGCCAGAAACTGAGGAAAAATAAGATCGTTCTACCTGAAATTTCATAAGCTACGGCACCATTAATTTCAGCAGAAGTTGCAGCAATTGTTTCTTGTAAAGTCACAGAATGACTGGACACCGATTTGTCCCTGACCAACCAATTCACAAACTAAAGAAATCAAAAGACATAACCCCAGGTTAAATACCAACAAAAAATATAGTAAGAACAACCAATTAGCACATACAAAACAAAATTCAAAAAACCGAAGACAAATTCAGGCAGTAACTAAAAAACCAACATACCCAGTTAAGCAAACTAAACCAAATGGCATATAAATATTTAGAAAAACTAAATGAAAAAAAAGCATAAAAAACAGAACCCACATCCCCATGTGTGAACAACCATGCTAAAAAAATCCCATCATTCCACATACCCAAAACGAATTCAAATCCCATCATCACATCCTCCAAGCTTAAAAACTGAAGACAGCCTTTTATAAGCATATCAATAACAAAAGTAAATAAAAAAATAAAAAAATCAAACCATCAAAATTGAGGAAGTCAATGAGAAAAACCCACGATTGAGGAGCGCAAACATGGACATTACAGAGGCCTTCACGAACCAGAGCTTCAACAAGAAAAAGAAGACCAGGAGAGTCAATCCCATCTCCATTAGTTACCAAAACAACAGGCTTTGAATTATTGTTGTCTTCCTCTTCAGTGTTTTCCACACAAGCAGAAGTAGATGGCTCTGTTGATTGATCATTATCATTATTTGATAGGTCACTTCCTTTTTCTTCTCCTCCTCCTCCACCTTTTCTGCTCAACAGTACTTGTTGCAGATTGGAAACCAGGCCAGGAGGTAACATGTTGTTCTTGACAGATGTCATTTGTTAGCAACAAAACACAAGACAGACACTTTCTTTTAAGATATTGGTCGGGAATCAAAACCCTAAAGACACAGGGAGATTGTGAGAGATGGGAAAGGAGGGTGAGGAAAAAAAATAAAGAAGAAGGAAGAGCTGAGAATGAAAAAAAAGGAGGGTAATTTATGGATAGACCGGGTCCGACGGAGAGAAAGAGACTGTCGTCAGTCCTTGTGGGGGAGACAAATTACTTTCTTTAAAGGAAAAAAAAAAGTTAATTAGTTGTTATTACATGACTAAAATGTTCTTCGGTTCCTAGCTTTTGAAGGTAATTATAACTTCAAATTGATGTGCATCTAAATCTATAATTGAGACCAATTTGGATGCAATTGAATAGGTTTTTTATTAAATCTTCAAATTCTTATTTTTAATTAAATTTCTTTTATATTCTTATATCATTAATATAAAAAATAAATTTATTTTCATATACTTTTTAATTATTTTAAATATATTTAGTTTTTAAAGATATTTTTTGGATTGATTTATAATTTTTTTTGATAAAATTTATTTTTTACAATATTTTTATTTATTTTCATATAGAACAAATTCTTTTATTTTATTTAATTAATTTAATACATATTTATTTTATAATTATTTAATTGAATAAAACAATTTTTTTAATAAATAAATTTATCAAACAAACTAGATAAAATAAATTTATTGTAAAATAAAATATTTTGATTTACACATTCTTTAAATTTTTTTAGTTTTAGTTATTGTTTATAAATTTTATTTATTTATTAGCTAACATAATTCTTAATTTATTTAATTATATATATATATATTTTTATTTTCACTAAAAAATAACTATAAAAACATATTAAAACAATTGTATATATAACTGTTTTTATTGGGGAAAAAAAAATGACTTGCGGCGAATCTCGAGTCTAATAATTAGTTGTTACGATAATGGAAACTGGCAATGGCATGATTAAAGGGTGAGAGAGAAGGAAAGAGGTCATGTTACGTGCTTGTCCGATACTTGCTTAATTATTATTTTTCTGGTTAATTAAAATTAATACAAGCGTTGTCGTCATAATTACAATCAGAAAAGGGGATGTGATCTGATTTCATGTCATGGAACTGTTACAACGCACCGTTTTAATGATGGCCTTCCGTGCCTGCCAGAAGCTCATCTGCTATATTCATTCATTTATTTTACGAAAATATTAATTTCAATATTTTTTTAGAAATACTGATTTATTATTATTATCCTTTTGATTTTCATCACATGGGTGTTATAAATATTGACAAAATAGAAGGATAGAGCATTGCGTTTTTATAATTGTATATATATTATTTATAGTTATGATTATTTTTTAAAATATTTTTTATTTAAAAATATATTAAAATAATATTTTTTATTTTTTAAAAATTATTTTTCATATCAGAATATTAAAATATTTAAAAATATTAATTTAAAATAAATAAATTTAATTTTTTAAAAAATATTTTTTAAACTGGATAAAAAAGCTTTTGTAGAGGTAAAGGTTTGAAACATTCTCACGAAAACATCTAACTATAAATAAATATATCATTTTATTAATTAAATGAAGAATAATCGTTTGCAACAACAGATTGGATGAAGCTTTACTCTGTCACTATAACAATCTTTTATAAAGCTAATGTTTATACAAATCCCCAGTTATCATTGTACGAATAGTCAAATCTTGCTCTATAAAATAGTTTTACAAATTCAACTCTACCTTCGTTAAGTTTACATAATTTGATCCGACTTTACTCAATTATTAACAAATATACTTTAACCATATTAAAGCTTATTATGCTGGGGTATATTAGTGTACATTCTTGATTATCAAATGGGTGATATATATATATTATCTAATAGATCTAAATAAAAATAAAAATAAAAATAATAATTAAATTTTTTTAAAAAAAATATAAAAATCTAAAAACATGAGTTTAGGTGTGGTAGTCCAAGCCTATCTGTTAAGAAACATAAACTCAGTAATAATTCAATTGAAAAAAATATTATATCCAGTCTTGTTAGAGATGTTGTTACACCTAACTATGTTGTTACACCTAACTAAGGTCTGGAGCTATCATGCCTAAACACAAGGTGTTTGGGTCTAAATAATATACATAAACCTATTTTTTATTTTTTTTTGGGTTTGACTACCTTACCCGAGCATAACACCCCTTTAAAATTTTTCTATGACTCCACGCGGGTCCATTAATGTTTTATATTGATCTTATATATATTATTTTGAATAGAATACAATTTAAAATATTATAAGGATTTAGTCTCTTTTCTCCACAAAAAGATAAGATTTATAGATTATAAATACACCATGAATTCTTCACACTAAATATTTATAATTTCTTCATTTTTAACACTTTTAAAATACATATTTGTAGAGTCTATCTCTTTAAAATATCAATGTTATTTTTTTTATAAAGTTACCGATTTTAACATATGAGAATTTCTACATTCATTAAAAAAAAATCTTTTACAGATATTAGTTGTTAATCACCTATATTTTTTATATTAATTCATCAAATGTCTTGATTAAAAAAAATAAATCAAATTACTTAAACTAAAAAATTAATTAATTATCCAACAAATTAATTTTATTCATAAATATATTAAATTTTAAAACTCATCATTATCTTTTTTTCTAAGCTGAGGCTAGCCCTTCTTCCACTTCTTGGTTTTGTACGAGGGGTTAGCCCCCTCCCTTCTCCTCACCTCAATAGAAACACGTGGTAGTCGCTTCTTCTCTCCTCTTCTTGATATTTCTTTATTTGCGGAAGAAATATCAGCCCACCCTTAAATAGAAGAGCTCAGCTTCGATGAAAGCAAGATAAGTTCTTAATAAATGAGATGACTTAGTTAACCTATATGATAAAATAAACCATTCACTCCCTTAAAAAAACCCTAATTCATGGAAGCCAATACTAAAAGGTTCAGTATGAATATGCCTCCTTGACCCTTTTCACACCCTTACAAAAAAAAAAGAAATTGTTTCTTGGTTAGTTAAATTTTGCAAATTATTAACACCCCCGAGTTATTTGAAGATTCATGTTATCTTGCAATAACAGTCTTTATTTTTGCCATTTCATGTGGAAACGCAAAGTTTTCCATGTGCTTTGCTCCGTGCACCATATTTTTTTCGTCCAAATGTGTTTTTTGTCAACTGCGAAAGTAGACATGCTGTGAAAATCAGATGCATTCTCTTTGGAAGCGTGAGCAAAAAACTAGTTGAAGCCTGCACTCAAATGTGATGACTCGCTCTCCTGTAAGAGATGGGTTCCACGTTCTGGAAGTACAGGCTCACAAGCTTCCTGGTTACGTGAGGCCAACTGTTAAGATGGACCAAAACTCGGGTTATTTAATGGCTCCAAGGTCAACCACAGGACCAAAACTTGGGTTATTTAATGCTGTGTTTCTCTTCTTTTGAATTCAGCAACAAATTAGAGCTTAAAGTTTCAAGAGACGCGGCCAGATTTTTGTTATTCAAGAAACCTCACGAGGAAGCTTGTTCTTTATGTTTTGTTGCTTTCTTCTTCTAGTTCCCCCAACCTCTGGAGTGTTTCTGAGGTTGAAATGGAATTAGCCAATACCTGTAATTTTCACCTACATGAAATCACGAAAGAGAAAAGGTTTAAAAATGAATTTATGGCTTTGAGCCTTTGGCTAGATTACTTTATAAAATTATCTGCCCTTATCCCAAGAGTTTATTGGAAAAGAAAATCAAAGAATGAATAGATAGGAGGAGAGTCGTATTGAAAAATATTTGGATAAATTAAAAGCCCCTTTGTATTTATTTTTTTAAAATGTATTTTTTTCTTTACTTCAATTTTTTTATATATTTTTAGATCATTTTAATATGTTGATGTTAAAAAAAAATTTAAAAAATAAAAAATATTATTTCAATGTATTTTTAAACAAAAATATTTTGATAAACAATCATTATTATAATATTAAACATGTTTGAAATCAATATTGTAAAATAGTTTAAAAATTATTTGATTTTTTTAACTGATACATGAATGAATTAATAAAAAGAAAGCAATAGATATTAATATATTCATATCAACATTATAATTATTATTATGAAAAACACTCATAGAAACCCACACCACTGTAGAGCTAAACTTATTCTATGTGAATTTTGATGGTGAAACATTTTTGTCCTAAAACTTTTTTTTTATTTCTCCAGAACCAAATTAAAAACCAATTTAAGTGTTTTTTTTATTTCATAATCACACCTTTTGAATTATAAATATTGAGTCGCTCTAATTTTTAATTTTTTTAAAAAATTCAATTTTAATCTAAAATTTTGTTTTTTTTATATTTTTAGTCCAATACACACCTTTTGAATTATAAATATTGAGTCCCTCTAATTTTTAAATTTTTTTAAAAATTTAATTTTAATCTAAAACTTTGTTTTTTATATATTTTTAGTCCAACAAATGATATGTTGTATATAATTTTATTTTTAAATTAAAGAGTAAAAACATATCATGTGCCTTTTAATATTTAAAAATAAAAGGATAACATGTTGTTTGCCGTATGCTCTTAGAAAGAGAGCAAACCAAGTCTATTTTATGTGCTAGACGTGTGAGCAGATCCATACACTTGGTCTTTTTAAAAACTAAAATTAGTATATTTTTAACCCTTTAAAAATTAAAAAACAATCTTCTTTTTTGTTATCAAACTTTAGAAACATTAGGGCTATTTTTTATTTAGTAACACACACAACTTCTATTTTTAATTTTTTAATTTGTTATTTTGTATAAAAAAGTCTAGTTAACATATAATTAAATGAAAAACAATCTTAAGAATTATAAATTGTTAATTTCATTAGGGTAAATGATTTGAATTGTAAGTTTAATAGAATAATCAGTTTATTCTATTCTTTTTTTGTTATTGTTTTTTGAATTAACTTTTTTTAATATTATCCTTTAATTTAATTATTTTTTGTATTTATTATAGAAAAATACATTGAACGAGCCTGCTTATTATTATTTTTTTTTTGGAAAAAATTATCTTATCCATGGTAAATCACGTGTCAATGGTTAGTAAAAAAAACACTAATTAAGGTGGGGAATTAAAGTAAGCTCTAAGAACTGCATTAATTCATTTCTTTCAAAGAGATGCACATTGATCAACATTTTATTTGAAGAAGTCCATATGGAGGATTTATGAAAAAAAACATATCTAATACGCAGAGTTATAAACGGACACCAAAGATAGA